GAATGAATGAATGAATGAATGAATGAATGAATGAATGAATGAATGAATGAATGAATGAATGAATGAATGAATGAATGAATGAATGAATGAATGAATGAATGAATGAATGAATGAATGAATGAATGAATGAATGAATGAATGAATGAATGAATGAATGAATGAATGAATGAATGAATGAATGAATGAATGAATGAATGAATGAATGAATGAATGAATGAATGAATGAATGAATGAATTAATGAATGAATGAATTAATGAATGAATGAATGAATGAATGAATGAATGAATGAATGAATGAATGAATGAATACACGATTGAGTAAATGAGTAATTGAATGAATGGAGGAACGATCGAGCCAGTCGTAAGACGTATCAGTTAAAGCCCCTCGTAACATGTAAATAATCAACTAAAAAGTATACAGCCCTACCTATTCGTGTCAACTGCTTGGTCCTTTCACGACGGCATAATTCGCTTCAGGATACAATTTTCACCAAGAACCTATTATTGTTGCTTAACATTACTATGAAATAATAAAATGAAATGATGTTTTATATAACAATGTAAACGATGGTGTAAATTAAAACTGCACACCGTATGGCCTCTAACTATTGCTAAAAAGAATTTCTACCACACACACACACACACACACACAAGCACACACACACACACACGGTAATTAATTATGCCTATAACAAAAGTGCGAAACCACAACCATCATCATAGCCATACAGACCTCACAAGAATCAAGTAGTCGAAACGAATGTACGTTAATTTTTGGCTTCTTGCACAGACATGATTTTAATTCAAGATAATTTATGTTAATTTTTTTAAACTTGCTGCCTTTGGTTCCAGCCTTTTCAGTTTATTGAAAAATACGGCTCTGTAAATGAATGACTGCTTAGTAGAATGAATGAATGAACGAGTGAATGAGTGATTAAACAAGTTATAAAGAGAGAAAGAGAGAGAAAAAGAAAGAGAGAGAGAGAGAAAGAAAGAGAGAGAGATTATTGCGACAATAAATAAGAAAAGTTTGTTTTAGTGCATAGTTTTTTTGGCTGTTACGTATGTTTGGAAGTGTTGAGATGGATATGTGGCCATTCTCTCTCTCTCTCTCTCTCTCTCTCTCTCTCTCTCTTTCTCTCTCTCTCTTTTTCTTTTCTTTCTCTCTCCTTTTCATCATCATCAACATCAACAGAGTCACCATCAGCCCAGCAATTATCACATCGTTATCACCATCAATCATAATAATTGTCATCATTGGTGACTTCATCTTCTGCCGACAAATTCGCTTGCATGTTTGTATGTATGTATGTTTGTTTGTATGTAGGTTTGTATGTTTGCATGTTTGTATATTTGTATGTATGTATGTATGCTTGTTTGAATGTTTTTATTAAAAATAGCATGCACTGTGTATGGAAGGGATTTTAAAAAATTATCTTTCTTGTATACTTTGTAACGCTTGAATGTTGTGGCTTGTATGTTGCTTTGCATGCATTTGTATATGTATGTGTGTGTGTGTGTGGGTGTGTGTGGGTGTGTGTGTGTGAGTGGGTGAGTGATTGTGTGTGTGTGTGGGTGGGTGTGTGTGTGTGGGGGCAAGTTGTGTGACACGCTTATGACATTGTTTCTCATTTAAACGTCACATCATTGTCATGTGCACTGCATAGCTGCTGCTGCTGCTGCTGCTGTTGTCGTTGCTGTTGTGGTTGTTGTTGTGGCTGTTATTGCTGTTGCTGTTGTTGTTGTTGTTGTTGTTGTTGCTGTTGTTGTTGATGATGGATGTTTTTGTTATCTTTCTTAGAATATAACACATACGTAAAAAAATTAAGCTTCTAACTTAACGATGCCGAAATAAATAACAAATAAAATATAATTTATCTCTTCGCAAATAGATTAGCATGCCATCATATGAACGTTTCACTCACTTCCAGCAATTAGAAGGATTGATACTACATGGAAGTTGAAAATCTTGACAGCTCCTCTCAACATTTGTCTTGTTGTTGTAGTTGTAGTAGTTGTTGTTGCTTTTGTTGTTGATGTTGTTGTTGATGTTGATGGTGTTGTAGTTTGACTTTCATGTCTTTCCAGTTGATAATGATGATTTCTTGATGTTACCTTATTTCCAAACCAAATTCGTTTGTCGTTGTTTTCATTGCCAACGAGTGATATTATTCGTGAAACAGCAAACGAACAAACGAACAAACATATAAACAAAAGAACAAACAAACGAACGAACGAACTTATTTATCTCGAGTTATCACCGTCCTTCTCATTACTTGACTCCATGATATTTATAAATTTGCATCAAACTATCCTTGCGTTAATTTACTTTTTAACAACCTTCACTGCTATTTGAAACTTCCAAAAAAAATTTCGCAAAATTTAAAAAATAATTAATTTCACACTTTACTTTCAGGAAATTTAAAATTTAAACTGTAATAAGCACGATTAGTTGGAATATAAATGAAAAATTAATTAACATAATAAATGTACGTTAAATTAATTTAACTAAATATTTAATAAATTTGTTAGTTAATTAAATATCTCATTGGGCTGAAGGACAATGCGATGGAAATAATTAAACGACCTAAGTCATACAATCACAATGTATGTATGTTTGTGCATATGTATGTACGTACGTACGTACGTATGTATGTATGTATGTTTGTATGTATGTATGTATGTATGTATGTACGTAGCATAACATAGTTTATTCATAAAGAGGACCCCAAAAAAATTTCCAAGAAAACCTCCGGCGATACCAACCAACCGCAAGTAAATTTTACAAGAACTGTACACAAGAAATAGATTGTAATAACAATATAAATACAGCATTGTATTTGACGAATTAAAATTGAAAAGTTCTCGTTAAATCGAAATTACCTCACTTAATTGAAATTCAATATGATCAAATTACAACCAGTTCCACAATTAACTCGAACTGAATTAAAAAAAATACACAATCAGATATACAATTAGATTCACAGTTAGATACACAGATACGCAGTTAGATACACAGTTAGATACACAATTAGATAGTTGTATCGGGAGGAAGTTATGATAGCCGAGATTTCAGCTTATTTTTGAATAGATGCAGTTCTGTCATATTATTAATGTTTCTTAGTTCAAAAGCACTGCCAAATTTTATCACTTGTTAAGATTTTAATATTAGTTCTTAGTTAGTTTTAGACGTGTTTTATAAAAGTTAATGAGAGATGTTTCTTCCGTTTGTATCTTGAAGGGATTCAATGTAAATATGATAGTTAGAGGAAGAAAGTGGGAGTAAATTCTTTAAAAATTTGTACGTGCATAAATCTTCTAGGTGCAGTCCTTCTTTGACAATTTGCAACCAAACAGAACAACTAAGTTGGAAGCTGCAATCATAAGTGATATGTCAACACTTTCTATTTTAACAGAGCTAAATCAATCTCCGACAACTGCTGCCATGTTCCAACTGTCGAGGCAACTGAGTTTTTCATTCGTTTAGCTTTAGCGAGGACCCACTTCTGATGAACACTTAATAAATATCTCAACCTCAAATTTGAAAGAACTCGGAGAACTAGTGGCCAGTATTCGAACATGCAAAGGCACGGCAGAGGATTATTTAAGAGTTAAGAGTTGATTATTTTGGTCATGTCCGAGGTATACTGCCAGAAGAGGGCGGGTCCTAAAGCTGAAACCTGAGGTAGCCCTGATGCATTAATTGAAATTTCAGATAGTGAAATGTATGTACGTACGTATGTATGCATGTATGTGTGTGTGTATGTATGTATGTATGTATGTACGTACGTATGTTCAGTTATATTCATGTATGTGTTAGTATTTGTTTTGTTGAAGTAAGTCTTTATAAATTGTTTCATCATTCTTTAGCATTATTATTATTTATATTACTATTATTATTATTCCTATTTTTATTCTTTTATTTATGTGGTCATTTTTGTTCGATCATTCATTCACGCTGCAGGTGTTGCATGTATATTTTGCACCAAGAGAATTACTACCACTGCTGCTACTACTACTACTGTTGTGGCGGCTGTGGCTGCTGTGGCTGCTGTGGCTGCTTCTACTGTTCGTGATATTACTTGCCGGTAATTGCTGTTTATAATGGCTGTGGTAGGATTGTTACGCCATCGTAAAAAATTTTTTCGTGTTAATATCTCTAATTAGCTGTCAAAATGATAATCATGATGATGATTACAATGATGATGATGATGGTTGTGGTGATGGCGGTGAAGACGACACGTTATGGCGCTCTTCTTAATTAAATAAAAATTTTGAAAACGTTGTCTTAAATTTAATAAAAAAATGTTTAAAAGCAAATTTTAATTTTTAAAAGCCCATCTTTTTTCTGCTTCCCGATTACAAAAGATGCATTTTTAAGAATGGTGCATTTTTTAACTTCATAAATAACCAGATGGTTAGTTGTCGTGTTTTAGCTGGAGTTGATGATGGTATATGTATGCATGCATTTATGCACGTGTGTATGTATTATGTATGTGTGTATGTATGTATGTATGTATGCTCATTTTGTTTTGTTCAGACCAAGCATGTTTAGATCACAATCTCATAAGAATTAAAAGATTCCAACGAAGAAAATAATTAAAAATTCGTTCGGTGGAATTGAACGGGAACAAGCCGTTTAGAACAAAAAATTTTCTTTCACGGCAGATGTCTATAAACAGCCTCCCATAAAAATCTTTTCTTTGGTTTTTTTTAAATTTCAAAATTTTTAAAAGATACGCAACATTTCGAAATGTTTTGAAACTTTCAAACTCTAACAGTTAATAAATAATATTCTAAAGAGTTTCTTAGCACGAGTTGTGCGAGTCTTGTAGGTTTATTTCATGAAGACGAACTTGAAAATTTGTCTCAATTATCTGAGGAAACTTTTTCAGAGTAGATGATGTCATGATGATGACGTCATGATGGAGAAGTTTGGTGAAAGAAGTAGAAAGATGATAGGCTGATAAAAGCAATTTTTAAAAAGAAGCTGTTTGCCAACGTGAATAATTTATTAGGACTTTCTGACGCAACAAAAAATATTAAAAAATACTAAACTAGTTTTTTCTCTTTTAATAAGCTCTGTTTTTTCGTCTTATGAAAATATTCTGCACCAGCACAACGAAGCGTTCGACTCATGTTTGCCTTCTTTGTGTTCATACGATGTGTAGAATTTTCTTCATTTGAGATAACAAATATATGCTGGAAGCAATGAAAATTTAACAACTTTAAGCAAATTTTTCCTTATTCAATTATTTGTAATTTTTAAAATTTTCTCATCTCCTCTAATTCACCACATCAGATAATTCAGCTCCCAAAAAATCAGTAAAAATGTTATCAACGGAGCGAGTTTCCAATGGTCTCAAGGTGAGTTCTGTGAAAAAGAAATATTAATTAAATTTTTAATGATCTGAAACTTATTTGGCTAAATGTTCCTTAAACTGTTTCTTACTGAATGATGTAACTCAACTGATGAAATGGTGAAACAAGATAAGATGAATGAAGCATAATCGATGACACGAGCTTCAGGGTCCAGATGTTCCCAGCAGAAAATGTACACACAAATTCTAAACGGCATAAAGAAGGGAGAAAAAAAGGTTTATTTATATTTGAAATTATCTCAGATAAAATATAAAATTCATTTTAAAACAAAATATAATAAAAATTACATTTAAATTGGTGTTCGATGAAAGTTGTCCTCTAGTAGCAACAATCATTCAATCGCCCGCCTCTCAAATCTTCAAATAATTTCACAACATAGCCCTCCAGTTAAGTTTTTTAAACTTTCAAATTTGTTCTCCATCGAATGATCGGTAGGTAGGATGCACGTGCCTGCCTGCGTTACCTTCAACTTGAACACCATCATTCGCAAGCCTAGCAAGATAAAATTTGGAACTCTGCTTGCGTTTGAACCTGGTCAATTGTGGACTTACTTTTGAGAAGCTGAATAACAAGCAGCAGGACACTCTTCACCAAGCCTTATCTCAGCGCCAACAAATCCAACAAATCGTGCAGTTAATAATTCGGTCAGTAATAATTTTTTTACCTTCAACTATAATTTATTAATATTTCCATTAATGAGAGTCCAGAACACAAATTACGCCAACAATTGCGAGCAACAAGAAGCGTTAAATTAATTTTTTTAATGTTTATTTCGTTGGCTTTCCATAAATATTATGTCCATGTTGACGCAACTTCCGATGTTTATGGCTGACCATGTCGGCTCTGTGACTGTGTGATAAAATGGCTTCAATAAAAGACGATTTCCGCTTTCCATTCATTCATTTATTCATTTCATTCCTTTTTTCACTCATCTCTTCTTTCCCTCCTTGTTTCATCTTTCTCTCTTTCCGTCTTATCTTTGTTCTTTCAAGGTTTTTTTTCATCTTTTGCCCTCTTTTTTCTTTTTTCGAACATCTTTTTATCTCTCCTCTCTCTCCTCTCTCTCTTCTCTCTCTATCTCTCTATCTTCCTCTCTCATTCTTGAAACAATGCATCTCCAAATTTAATTTTAACGTTCCACTACATTATGCTCCTCTGATCTTCTTAATCATATTTCCATTTTAATCATCATACTTCTGGGGCAGGCGGCGGAAATAAATTGCGTTAAAAGTAAAAAAACAAGGAGACAAAGAAATTCTTTGAGGAAACAATTTGTTTAATTTGTTTTAAATTTGTTTAATTAATTAATTAATTATTTTTTGAAATTAATTAATGTATTAAGGTCAATTAAGGCAAAAAACCAACGTTCATTTGTAAACATTGATCAGTAGATTTCTATATCTCAAATTTCTAAACTAAATTCACTTTTAATCATGATGTCGATATGAATAGATTGTAAACAAATAAGGAGTTTATTATTATGTAAATGTTAACAAGGACTATCGATATATATATATATATATATATATATATAGATATAGATATAGATTTATATATATTTATATATATATATTTTATTTATATATGTACCTATGTATATTAGTTTATATAATTATCGAAAGTAAAAAATACCAGGAATTAATTCTTAATAAAGAGATGTACACAAAGAAATTATTATTGCTGTGCTCAGATGTTGAAGCCGACGACGATGACGACGGTTTAAGTGTCCGTAAAACTATTTATTACTTCAAAAAGTAATTTAATAATTGTATGGAATCAAACAGAAATAATGAATTTATTATCATTCGTCGTCATGTCATCATCATCCTCATTTTCATCGTCGTCATCATCACTTAGGAACAATCTCCTACCAGAAACATTGCAGGGGATTGCCACAACTGCCGTTACATTGCAACAGCAACAACATGATCAACAACAACATCAGCAACAACAACAACATCAAGAACAACAACAACAGCATCAACAAGAACAACAGCAACATCAGCAACAGCAACAACATCAAGAACAACAACAACAACAGCATCAACAAGAACAACAGCAACATCAGCAACAGCAACAACATCAAGAACAACAACAACAACAGCATCAACAAGAACAGCAACATCAGCAACAGCAACAACAAAGGAATAACCGTTTTCTTGTCGTCCCCGTGTTTAATGATGTTTTTGTTCCATCTACATCTTCTCCACTACTAAAAATGTCTCCACCACCACCAGCAACAACAACAACAACAATCTCTTCAGCAACAATGACGACACCGACAACAACAAATACTCTCTTGTTGACATCATTGGCCTCAACAACTACAACCCCACTTCCGAACCCCCCACCAACCTACCCCCCTTTAGCCTACCCTCCACTAACCCCCATAAAATCCATCTTGAAGAAGACATTGAAGAACAAAAATTTGAACTGCCAGCATCCAATCAGCAGTTGCAGCACTGACTCCTACTTGCTGAGACCGAAAGTTAGTTGGTTACACTGCACCTCAGACAAGAGAGCAGCTTCACACTGCTCTCGCCAACTCTCATTTGATGAATGATTCTTAATAAATCTTAGTGATTTCAATCACACGCGCACACACGCACAATATCACACACACACACTCGAACTCGATCCCCCTGGCAGCATGCGTAGGACCAGCCAGGTAACTTCATCGCCATCAGCCTAACAATGAAACCGTTAGTTATATTAATGCGAGTCTGAATGCAGAGGACCCATAGATGTGATGGAGACTATGGAGACGAATCAGACCCCTGTGACGATGAACTTGCATATTAATTGCATCATCGTCTGTCAATCTTTGAGACCATTAAAATTGAGTAAACCGATAATGATGAGCATCTACGTCTCGTTATAAACGTTGATACGAGACGATGTTGAGATTTTTATCTGAATGAAACGAGACGTGCGCCGAAGATAACGAAATTAAACGAGGCGAGACGCAGATGCATAGTTAATAACATATAGTGATAAATTTTTTTAAATTGGAACAAATGACATGAACGACCCAACAGACATCGAGGGGGACTCGGTGTGAGAAGGGGCTTGGCAAGAAGGTTTCCTTCGATGAGAAGATCTGCTGGCTCAATGAACAGGTTGTACTTCCTTGTATTTTTAAGATGGTACTTTTTTTATTACAATCCTACCTTTTAAGATTGTACTTATGCATCACCAATAGAATGTTTTTCACAGAACTCAACAAGCCTGTATCTGAACAGTCTGTGGGAGAACGAGCGAGAAAGCATCCAGCAAACCGCCCGCAACTACGTCAACCCAGCAAACTGTCAAACGAACACACAAAATTTGTGGCGTCCAAACCTCACAAATTCAGATTCAATAAAAGAAACAGTGGCAACATCCAGTGAAAAGAAAGATTCAAACCTTCTGCCAAATGTTTGCGGAAAAGAAAATAGCATCTTCAGCAAAGTATCGAACGCAGTTGCCTGCTTGAACGGGCTCAACAACTCCGAACCTTCCAACAAAATTGCGAGCCAACTTTATAAGGATGATGAAGACGATTACGAGAAGAGTTATCTACAGCTAGAAACCTCTTTTTGGCGGAAACAACATCTGCAACACTCTCAACAACATCTTCAGCAACAAATTTTGAACCATAGCCAAACAGACTCAAACAGCATTCAAGAAGAAAATATTCATTGCACACTCGCATCCAACCTCAAACAGGACCAGGTGAAGGAAAAGTTTTTATATTTGCCAGACCTGGCACAAGAACAGCAACAACATTTTCATCAGAAAATAAAACACGATCCTCAACAGAGTCAGCGAGAGAAGAAGTCCATTCTCGAAATGAATGAAAATAGGAGGTACAGACAGGCTTTGAATGAAAAGCTGAAGATTCAACTGGATAGGATTGCCCAACGCAAGCAAGCAGAACAACATCGGCAACAACAACATCGACAACAATATCAGTATCGACAACAACAACAACAACAACAACAACATCATTTTCAACAACATTCATTTCTGCCCAACATACCACATTACAATCAACAGCAGAAAACAAAACCCATCGCGAGCAAATCCACCAGGCTGCCAAGGCTTTCTCGAGCAACCAACGAAACAAATTTTATCCAAACTTCAACAAATACGGCAGCAAGCAGGTTGATGCAAGTAAAAAATCAACATTCACTGACAACAACAACAACTAACAAAGCCAACTCTGCTATAACATTAGTGAGTTCATCAACATCGACAACGAACCTCTTCCATGATGAACAACTCCAGCATGTCCTGCAGCACAAAACCCACCAACCATCCCAGCAGACTTCATCATTCCAGCAACGACAACTGCAACTGCAACCTTTCCAAAGTTACGACAACCATCACCAACCAGCATCATCATCAACACGTCACACGTCGTCATCTTCATCTTCGTCATTTTCACCGTTGTCAAACTCATCTCCATCATTCGCTATCACAAACAACCAACGCCAGCAACAACAGCGAACGAGACAATTATTGCAAAGTGAACTTCAGAACCGACACCGACCTCCACAACAGCACCAGCGCCATCAACGTTCAAGACAAATTACTTTCTTTGCCGATTTCATCCAGCCGGTCATCAAAAACTCGAAACTAATCGACAAAATTAAAAGACAGCACATCGCTCTCGAATACTGCAATGTAATCGAATCTCACAGCAAACAAACCTGGATCCTCTTCGGTATAATACTCGTTCAAAACTTAATATGCGACCGAAAAGTATTCGTGAGATATTCGACCGACAGCTGGACCACATACCGAGATCTGACCGCCGTCCTCGCCGAGCAGCTGACGCCTCTCATAGACGCCTACACGTTTGGAGTGGGCGTTACGCTAGGAGAGTTGGTGGGCGGCAACAAAATATTGAGGAATGAATCCGTCGGTGCTGATGACGATGACGATGATGATGAAAAACATGTCGGTGGTAATGATGATGATGATGATGTGAGTTATGCAAGTGAGGACATCAAGGGAAATGTTGTTGAAGACATTAATAATCACAACAACAACAACGACAACAACAACGACAACGACGCATCTGGCAAATACGCTGGGAACGTTGGAATCGAAGGCGAAACCCCAAATGCGAGTAACATTGCTCACATAAGTTTCAAAAACAACAACAACAACAACAATGATGATGATGGTTTTAGTCATTTTGACAGTAAGAGTAGCGAACCGGGGAACGATGAAGACGCTTCAGACAATGGATCCAACGCTCGAATTGAGCTGGCTCTGTGCGTGCGGTCCAATGGTGTCAGTGAGTGCTGGGACAATAACGAAGGAGACAACTACCGCTTTGTTGGTATGATGAGTGATTGATTGGCTGGTTGGTTGGCTGGCTGGTTCGTTGATTGATCGATTGATTGGTGGTTGGTTGATGATTAGTTATTCAAAAATTACAAAACGCGCAATACTACTCAGAAATTATTTTTAAAATATTTCAATGTTTTTTTTTATTTCGTCTGTGCCATCAAAAATTTAATTTCAATTTTATTTGGTGAAAAAAAATTTCAATAGAAGTTTTGTTGAAATTTTTAACCTTATTTTCATTTTTTATTAATTAAATAATCAATTAATTTGAAAGATTAATTGAAAACACTGGATAAATAATTTACGACATAAAATCAAAAAGCAATCATTAAACCAACGAAACAACTATTGAACAATTCAGCCGAAACAACTCAATCAACCAACCAATCAATCATTCGTTCAACCAATCATCCAACTAATCAATCAACCAATCGATCGATCGATCAATCAATCATCATGGTTCTCGTTCTACTCTGTGAGGTGGATGAAATCTGAATATTTGTATGTCGGTCTGATGTTAATGTAGGCCAGCCAGTATGTGAGGCTGAGTGTGAGGAAGGCCAGAGGAAAGATGATCCGCGAGTAGCTGTCAATCGTGTCTGCATACATTGCGTTGTTGTTGTTGATGTTGTTGTTGTTTGGGTTCTTGTTGTTGTTGTTGATGTTGTTGTTGATGTTGTTGTTGTTTGGGTTCTTGTTGTTGTTGTTGTTGATGTTGTTGTTGTTGGTACTAACTATGTTGTTTATTCTTCTATATTTTTTACTGGAATCATTTAATGAATGTTTACAAACGCTGCAAAAGTAAATAGCAGTGTTATCATCATTTTGTTGTTGTTGTTGTTGTTGTTGTTTAATAGACTTTGTTCCCTTTCTGTTTGACCGTAGAATGTGCTGTTTATGACGGGAATGAGGTTGTTGTTGATGATGTTGTTGTTTATAGTGCGAACGTTCAAGATGAAAATGCTTAATATTCCCACCATCTTCTTCAACGTCGTCCTCAATTTGGTATACAAAATGTTTGCCTGTCGAGGCAGGCTGATTTGGGAGGGAGCCGAATTTATTTTTCAGCAGAGCGGAAACGTGCTGACAGCTGGTTGCAGGATGCTGGCAGCTGGTTGCAGGATGCTGGCAGCTGGTTGCAGGATGCTGGTAGCTGGTTGCAGGGTGTTCCGCAACTTTTTCAATTGTTGGAATAACGTTGGAACTGTTTCCAGAGATTTCATTCCAACCCTCCGAGGTAGCAGGTTTCAACGCTTTCGAAGCACTCTCACGTTCCGAATGTTCGACATACGTGCTGGCAACAGTAATAGCAGTGGTTGTAGTAACAACAGCATTCTTATTATTTGTAGTAGTAATCGTTGTTGCGCTTGTAGTTGTTGTGGCAGCAGCAGAAGTGAAGTTAGCGATGAAATCGTATTTGGATGGTTGCCGAAAGCGATGGTCCGCCAGTTTGGCTCCCTGTGTTGCATTTCAAAGTGTTCATCATTCAACTAATAAGCTTCATCATATTTAGCTGATGATATTAATAATGATTATTGCTATTCTTAATTTTCAAAAGTTAACTTCAAGAAAATGTTTGTAAGTCATATTTTCAGACATATGTTAATCTTCACGTTATTAGTGGCAATAAATGAATGAATGGATGAACAAACGAACGAATGAACGAACGAACGAATGAATGAACGAATGAAATCATAACAACCATGGCTTCCATGTCCCGATATATTTCGTTGTACTCTGGCTGGCAGAGCATTTTGACGCAGGTTAAAATTGGATGAGGTAATGATGATGATTGCGTTTGGTGGTGATGATAATGATCTTGGTGAGGAAGATAAAGATGATTCAGATTGCTTTGAGAGGACCATTGTTGTTGTTGATGATGATGTTGTGCAAATGCTGATGACGTTGTTGTTGCTGTCATGTCACTTAGAATGTTTTCTAATGGTAGTTGTTGTTGTTGATATGTTTGCTGTTGTTGATATGTTTGCTGTTGAATGAGCAGTTCATAGAGCTGATATGTGGATGCTTCAAGCTCGTAGACACTTAGATCGCCGAGACTCGGGTGGCCCTCGCAATCGTCGACGCTGCAAAAACAATTGAACGCTGCTGAGGCTACAGCTGCTAGTTTTGTTGGTAGTGTTGCTGCTACTGCTGCTGCTGCTGTTGTTGTTGTTGATAGTGTTGCAGTAACTGCCATTGACGACGATTTTGTAGTCGCTGTCGTCGTTGCTGTTATTTTGTTGACATCGTTCGATTGTTCCCCGCTGGAATGCAAGTTTCCAGACCTGGCGCCGGGGACACCACGGCGACAGTCGTCGCAATTGTTATAAACGCCAGCCCGGCCATCGTCGCCTTCATCCATCCCGTCGGTCCCACCATCACGGCATCCGTTGCAAGTTCTCGCGCAAAAGAGACACAATGACGCGTCGGTGCTGCTCTTGTTGTTGGTATTATTATTCCTGAACTGTCTGCCGAAATAATTGTCTACCCCACAAATGTTCGGCCATCCAACCCCCGCAGCCTCCCCCCCATCACCACCACCCCCATCCTCCTCTTCCTCCCCGTATCTCATCCTCATTTTTTTCTTCCTCCTCTTTTTTCTGTTTCTGATTTTCAAATTTGGAGCGGTTCGACCTGTTTTAATGTGAGTGAGTGACCGTGCAAACATCATCATCACCATCATCATCATCACTTTGAATTTTAATGATCATTATCATCACCATCAATATCGTCATCATCATCATCCCTTTGTATTTTAATGTTTACTTTGTTTGTATTATCATTATCATTATTTTTGCTGTCGTAGTTATTGTTATATAGCGAGAGAGAGAGAGAGAGAGAGAGAAAGAGAGAGACGAACGAACGAACCGAGATAACTGACGCAGGTATACTCGAGGATGGCGGCGAAGACCATGACGAAGCAGCTGATGAGGTAGACGTCCACGCTTTTCAGGTAGCTGATCTTCGGCAGGGAGGCGTTCGTACTCGAAATCAGTGTGGCCATCGTCAGGACTGTCGTTATGCCTGCTGGGCGTGTGGTGTGGTTGTTTGTCGCGCGGTGTGGTTGTTTGTCGCGTGGTTGCTTGTTTGTCTTGTGGTGTGCTCCAATCCTCATCATTCTTACCATCACAACAATTTACATTATTCGTCATGTTGTTATTATCGTTGTGTTTATTTAAAATCAAAACGATTATCATTATCGTCGTCATCGTCATGAAATACTGAACCCAAAGTGGTCCTGGCGGGGGCAGAGTCCCTGTGAATCCAGAAGGAGATCCATGAGAGGACGACGATGAGGCTGGCGGGGATGTAGATGTGGATGACGTAGTAGCCCAGGCTTCGCTCCAGCAGTATGTCGCACGCTAGTCTGGAATATTCCCCTGCAGACCATGTTGATGATGACGATGATGACGATGATGGTGATGATGATGATGGTGTCTACGGTGTTACAAGTACAAACATACAAACACAAACAGAAAACAATACAAATGAAACAAACATACAAACAAACAAACATATGAACGTACAAACAAACAAACCGACCAACCAGTGCTTGTGTTGACGATTTTATCTTTGGTTCGATAAGCGGAAAGTCTGTATTGCGGAAGTTGGATGTCGTTGGAGATGTTGATAGGAGAGGAGGGGTGCCATCTATATATGATGTGCCTCATCGAGTAGGCGTCTGATCGTGATGATGACGATGATGGTGGTGGCGGTGATTATGACGATAAATCGTTAAAACAACAAACTAAAGCTTATTTTGAGCAAACCAGCAAACTTAAAAATACATTTCATTGTACAAATGAATGAATGATTGAATGAATGATTATATATGTATAAATAAAGTTTTAGATAAAGTTGAATCTACCAATCTACGACCTGTTGAATTATTATTCAAAAAAGTAATAACAACAAATTGGGGAATTATTTTTAGTAAAACCTGCATATATAAATAAATAAATGAATGAATAAATGAAAGAAAGAATGAATGAAAGTGTGAATGAAAGAGTGAATGAAAGAATGAATGAAAGAATGAATGAAAGTACTCACAACTTTCCACTTCCAGAGAGCAGATTTGTGAGTCGAGTGGGAAGTAAGAGAGGTCCATCTTGCATATGGCTGTAACTGTTAATCTGCGGATGCATGGATGAATGCATGGATGAATGCACGGATGCATGGATGAATGCATGGATGAATGAATAGATAGAAAATAGATACTCGACCTAACACAAACCAATGCACCAACCCAGCAAACCTCTGAGCAAGCGGATCACAGACGACAAACCGACCTGCTCACATAAACATACATCAGCAACCAAACCGGAGAGATGCCCAAATGCATGATTCGATACGAAACGAAATTTTATTCCCCTCTAGTGAATTCATACATGTGCACATAACACACAGATTTCAATATGTTTTTCCATTTATAAAAATTTGAAAATTTATTTTTACACTGCATTCAAAAACGAGGGTAGGTACTTACATTCATTCACAAACACACACACATACACAAACAAACACACATACATACATACACAAACACACACACACAACAGCACGCAAACAAAGACACAAACACAGACACATCTGATCATATGTAAACATGCTTATGCACACTTGAACGAGCTCAGACCCATTTGCACCGTGGAGGCACGTCTTATTAGGAATGAATGATCTCACAATCAGTCAATCAATCATGCAACCAAACAATCAACCAGCCAACCAACTAACTAACCAACCAATCAATCGACCAGCCAGTAACCAACCTCAAACTCAAGGTGACCCATCCTGTATGCTTGATCCTCAGGAAGGCATTCTTCGTAGTTACGGCGTGGAAGTTGGCAGATTTTGCATTTGCGAAGAATGTGTCGGGCCACCAAATTGTTTCTAACATCTCGTTGCTGATGCACAACTCATCTTCAATTTTTCCATCGTCGTCATCATCTTCTTCCCCATCATCTTCCACCTCTTCCTTCAACTTCTCAAACTCCAGTCGCTTATCTTGCCACAACTGACGAAAGTAAAACTCCAACGTAAAGTCCTGGGGTTGGTTCAACATCGCACGTCTTAAAATCATTTGAGAACATTCCAAAATCGAATAAAATTTGAAAAATATAACCACATAGAAATGGCAACAACAGAAACATGGATGGGATTTGTTTGCAGATGTGGATGGATGGATGGAAGATTGTTTGGAGAGGTGAGTGCAGATTATAATGATGTAGTGAGGAGTGCGTGAGAAATAAAATAAACAAAGGAATGAAAGAATGGAAAAGAAACAAATAAATGACAAAATGGATGAATAATGAAATGAAGGGGCGGATGAATGAAATCCTAACTTATCATGGAAAGTCACATCTTTCAGATTAAAAGCAGGCAGTGATTTATGGAGAATTAATGCATTGTTGGTCCTCCCCTACACTCGTCTTTTTATCATTCGTTCATTCGTTCATTTATTAACTATATCATTCATTCATTCATTCATTCGTTCATTTCTTTATTTACCGGTTACTTAATTCAGTTATTCAGACAGTTATTAATTTGTATTTTATTATTTTAAATGTGTATTCACTTGTTAATTTTGCATTCAATTAGGATTTTTTGATTACTTGAGCATTCGCAGAGCGTCCTTTATAAAACCGACATTTTCTGAAAGGTGCATTTCAGAATGTACAAAATAATCGCCTGCTGCCAGTCTGGATTCACCGCCATGCCGCAGACCAATGAACATTTTTGTCTTTAAAAATTTGTCTTCATTAAACAAAATTTGTTTCTAACTTTTTTTCATGTGAATCTAACGATATTTTTCGTCTCTACATTTTTTGGTTTATTTTAACACGGAATCATTTTTTAATGACTTCATTTAATCAACCAACCAACCGACCAGCCAACCAACCAACCAACCAACCAGCCAACCAACCAACCAACCAACCAACCAGCCAACCAACCAACCAACCAACCAACTAACCAACCAACCAATCAACCAGCCAACCAACCAACCAACCAGCCAACCAACCAGCCAGCCAACCAACCAACCAACCAACCATATTAGCTTCGGAAACAGAACTGACACTCAAAATCGTCAAAGTTATGCTCACTTCAACTGGATCCCCTGCAGAAACAACAACATTAATAATAATGTAATGTAACGAATCATTTCCTGGGGACGATGATGATGATAATTTTAATAATAATGATAACAATTTTGTTGGCGTGAATGATGACATCAATCATTCCCAAGCAATCAGCAGAACAAGCAAGCAAAGAAGCAAGCAGCAGAACAACTGACCGTGGTAGTTTGGTCTCAGCCTCTTATCGTAGCCCCACGTCAGCCTCTCCAGCAATCTGTTTGCGTTGTTGTTGTTGTTTTTATTACTTTTATTCCTCGTTCGAATTTTTCATCATTTTTACGAATTAATATTAATTTTTATCACCAGCAAATTTACCGCAGCTGCTGATGAGCAAACGTTTGAAAACTTGTTCTAGTTCCGATATTTTGAAGTTTAAAAATTTACTATTCGAAGATTGCAACAAATGAATTGAAGATACGGCGTAGCTAATTGATTGATTGATTGGTTGATTGATCCATAAAAGAAAAAAACTTAATGGAGAAGATGTCAATTTCCCAGCCATAACAGCTGAGGCTTTCAGTTCGGATGTGAACGATGAACATGAAGATTTAACGAAGTTCTCGAAATCGTTGAACACTTATTTCAACAAAGAATTTGGATCAAATTTCAACAATGCATTAGCGAACCAGCCGGTGATGTTTCCATTATGAAGGGACAGTTGAAGACACGTCGTCTTGCAAAATATCCGATCGTCATCAAATGGCATTAAAACCGTCCAATGCAAAAATAATTTTAACAGACAGCCTTCCAAGCTAACATCTTCAACATATTTTCACGATACGCCTTCTCTTAAATCATCATCACTACCAACATCATCATTATCATCACCACCACCAACAACAACATCATCATCATCACCGCAGAATATTTAATTGAATTCAAACCTGGAGACGCCGGCACTTGCTCCTCGGAAATATTTATGGTGATGATTATGATGGTGATGATGATGTTGGTGATCACGTGGTGATGATGGTGATGATGGTGGTGGTGGTGGTAGCAATGATGATGATGATGATGATGATGGCAAAGAATGTTTGAAAGTTTTGATTTTAAATACATTAGTCCCTTTGGGAAACAAGAAGGGTGGGAAGAGAACATATGGAGGTGATGATGATGATGAAGATGATGATGATGAAGAAGAAGATGGTGGTGATGATGATGATGATGATGATGATGACGATGGTGATGGGGCATATAATAATGCAACGCTTGGTTTTACTGAGATAATCTCCTGGTTGTTGAGATTGTTGTTGATGATGTTGTTGATGTTGATGATGTTGTTGTGGTTGTTGTGGTTGTTTGGAATGTTCAATGAATTATTAACTAGATCTATTGCAGAGTAATTTATTAATTCATGTTGCTGTTGTTGTTGTTGTTGTTGGCGATGAACTAACTCAAGTGGGATAAGATAAAAGTAAAGTTGTTGCTGATGATGTTGTTGTTGATGATGTTGTTGTTGTTGATGTTGTTGTTGATGCTGATGTTGTTGATGTTGTTGTTGTGGTTGAAATTGATGTTGATGATGAATACTTTCCACAGGGTACCATGTTGTAGATGGTGGCACGATAACAATTGCTTCATCTAATATGGAAATATGATCTGCTGATGATGATGACGACGACGAAGATGATATTGGTGATGATGACGATGATGATGATGATAGTTGCAACAACGGATTGATTTGGGGTGGCTTCTTCATGACAATGAACTTGTTCGGCCCATCAGTGAATCCTGTGTGCCAGTTCTTTGATGTGTTGTTGTGGTTGTTGTTGTTGTTGTTGATGTTTGTATTCTTATGAAGATGATGTTGTTGCTGATGTTGTTGTTGTTGTTGTTGTTGATTAAACTTCGACATGCGCACATCTCTTTGGACTATCTGTCGGCATCGACCATGTTCAAGTTTGAGTTGTGAATCATCAAATAATTGATGGATGGGATGGTTTCTATCGAAGTTGCTGTTGTTGTTGTTGTTGCTGATTTTTTTAATCTTTTTGACGCTGCGTCTGTAGTGTATGGATTTGTATAATTTGTCGCTCACTCCCAAACGAAGTGTTGAAGTCAAACATCTTTGCGGTGATTGCTCGTGCTCTTTTTGATGTTGATGTTGTTGACGCGACTGTTGTTGTTGTTGTTGTGATCCATGTTGTTGTTGTTGCTGTAATTGATAATGTGATTGGTGTTGTTGTAGTCCATGTTGTTGTTGTTGTTGTTGAAGGGATTGATGATGTGATTGGTGCTGTTGTTGCTGTTGATGTTGTTGTTGTTGTTTAAGTTGTGATTGCTGATGTGATTGGTGTTGTTGTTGAAGTTGTTGTCGTCGTCGTTCGCTGCGATCCAAAGCTCTTGAATGCTCATCAGACCGCTCCCTGCAATGCATTAGCGATTTCGTCGACATTTTGTTTATTTTTTCAAATTCGTATTCATTCATTCATTTATTCATTCATTCATTCATTCATTCGTTTATTCATTCATTCATTCTCCACTCGTTCATTCATTTGTTTATTTCACTCACTCAAAAACTAAAATTAATACAGCGCTTAATTTTGTTATGGAACGAACGACTGAAAAGAAGGTCAAGCAATAAATCTAGGTCAAGTTTCTAGCTTTACTAACATTTGACAACATTGTTTTCGTAACTGAGTGTGTGTGTGCGTGCGTGTGTGTATGCGTGTGTGTATGCGTGTGTGTGTGTGTGTTTGTACACGTGCCTTTGAATACGTCAGGTATTCGAAATGCATCTCATCCGTCTTCAGACCACTGTACGTGATTATCTGAAGAGGCAAAAACATTCCTTCAATCAACCCACTTCAAATATCTTGTGTTGCGTGTGAAGCGAATGACCCGCACTTAAATGGGTCCTGTCACGTAATCGACTTTGACCTCGTGACCTCTGACCCGACTTGACATAGTTTAATTTAAATGAAGCCATTATATAGAGTCACCGTGTTTTTTCCTGAGAAAAGAGGGAAAGAAAAAATTTGTCTCACACACAAACACACACATACATATACATACTAACATACATACATACAAACAAACATACACACATGCATACATACACACACACACAAACTCACACACACATAAACACACATACATGTATGGACATTACTTGGAGAGATGTTTTCAGAAGAAAACATCTCCAACATATTTCTACGATTCGTTCCTCTTTCTTGCTATTCATAATATCAGCAACACAAATAATATTAATAATAATTTATAGCAATGATCATCGTTCTGTTGCAAACCATACACACGTTCACACACACACACACACATTCACACACATACAACACACAAACAAACAAATATTCAACACACACTTACACATACACACATGCATTCCACGCACATACACGGCACACGTCTGTACTTTCGATGCCATATTTTTCAATGGAAAACTTAATTCACTTTCTGAGCGCCATTCATCAACCTTGTCAGATGTCTTCACATCCATTGACCAACTGACAGACTGGCTGACTAGAGCGGAAGTTTCATGGAGGATTTTTTTGAAAGGAGATGTTGATCCTCTCATGTTTTGCATCAAGTCCCAACACAACACGGCTCTAATCCCCTCTCATTCACTCACTAACACTCATTCATTCACTCACTCACTCACTCAATCACACACTCATTCATTTATAACTATATGCGGTAGAAAAACGTTTGGAGCAAATTTATTTAGTTAATTTATCATGCGACTGTTCACGTTGGTGATTTGTTTTCTTTTTAAAATTTCTCACTTGGTTCATTCAAGATACATTACTTGTGTGAATGTGTATGTGTGTGTATGTGTGTGTGTGTGTGGTTCCAACACGACGCACGAACGCAGCAAACAAGTTGAGTTGCATACTACATACACCCACAAGGCCTCCTTTCAAACACACACGCACACACACCCACACACGCACACCCACGCACACACACGCACACACACCCACACGCTCACCCACACGCACACACACACGCAAAGCACCCATACTGAAGAAGAAAGAAAATCAGTGCAATTACGTCACTGCTGACGTCAGAAGTGCAAATTTTGATGGATGGCGTGCATGTACGTGTGACCAAAAGACTGACTGGCTAACATTGGATGGTGAAGATAATGATGATGGTGATGATGACGAAGATGATGATGATAAAGTAGATGGCGTAGAAATAATAATAATAACAATGTTGACGATGACGACAGCAATAATATCGCTAAGAAGCACAGAAATAAGAATGAAACTAGAATTAATTTATCAAGATGAATTTTTAAAGCATTCGTAACGCTGTCTGTCAACTTTTTCAATTGGAAGTTTCACGTGATGTGATTGCGATGTGACGATGTGTGGTGGTGTTATATGGTGATTTATGGTCCCACTCAACCGGCCGTAACGTACGTAGTTGGACATCTCAACAAAATTAAGCACCGTTCGAACATGTATGCCACTGTTACAAATTCTCTCATGTTTTCCTAATTCATGGAAGCCTGAATAGTGCTGCCCAGACTGCAAACATGCATTCATGTATTCGCGGGAAGTTGGATGAAAAATAGAATGCGCGCACATCTTTCTGAATTGTATTTCTATCCCCCAAGAGATGAAGGGCTCTTGAATTTTCAGCAAGCGTATAGTAGATCAAGTTTGTTGATTTTTTCACATTTATGCAGGCTCGACATGAAAATGAGATTGACTGCCAAAAAATTTTAAAATCCAATTGATTCTAAAAAATTTATGAAATTTCAATTAAACAAAAGTAAAACTCACATTTTTTTACAAACATTTTAAAAATTTCAAAATGGTTGTCTAGTAAAAAATATAAATATGAACAGAAAGACGCTCACGTTGTGAGGTTTGCCCTGGAGGTGGGCGGGAATTGAAATTTGTTCCCAATTCTCGCCCATTTTTTTTCTTATTCCCGAATCTCCCCGGATTCCCAGTTATGACAACGTTCACGAAAATTTTCATTTCCTCTTTTCCAACTCCCTCCCTCCCGTTTTCCATTTTCAAAATTTTTAAATGCCAAAAAAACAAAATTTTTGTAAAATGGAGATTTACTTCGGTATGGGCGTCCTCATTCTCACCTCTAGTCTGGAGATCCGCCTTGAATTTTGCATGTGATTGAGAAGTAGTCAGAGAAGGAGGTAAAAAGTTCCAGAGAAAAGGGCCAGAAAAAGCAAATGCAGATTTAGCAAAAGAGTTAACAAGAAGTGAGAACTAAAAGACGATCGTAAACCGGGACATTTAGGCTCAATTAATATATCTGATAAGTACTCAGAAAAGAAATTTAAAACCACGTCCACGTTCTACGCCCTACCCAATAATCTGCACGTGCAAAATTTCAAGTCACTTGGGTCGGTTGTTTTTGAGTCTATGTAGATCAAACAAACTCACAAACAAACAAACAGACACACTGACTGACTGACACACAAACAATCACACAAACGAAAGAAATCAAGCAAACATTTAATTTTTTATATGTAGATGAAATTACTAAAGAAAGGTACCTTTTTATAATTGAACTCTCTTTAACATCCTTTCCCATAAAAATGAATGTTGTTGTTGTCGCTGCTGCTGTTGTTGTTGATGATGTCACAAATGATAATGTTGTTGTTGTTGTTGTTGTTGTTGTTGCCACGAACAATAAATTCCAAAAAAATATTACCATGGAAAGTAAAATAGGTGATGACGATGATGTCATTCTTAATCCATATAAACTACAACACGTGTATGTAATCTCTAAAGTAACATTAAATTTTAAAGCTGATGTCTTGTGATGGATTGAATTCACGCCTTCACATGTTTGTGTATACCTGTATTTATGTATGTATGCATGTATTTGTGTGTTTGTTTGTTTGTTTGCACGGTTAAAGGGTTAGGGTTAGGGTTAGGGTTAGTAAGTGTACTCTCCTCTGTTATAAATTTGTCAGTAACAAATCAATGCGAACGTTTTCATGCTTAGACAGCTTGCATCATCATCTTCGTCTTCATCATCTTCTTCTTCTTCACGATCGGTTTGTGAAATATTAATTTAAATTATTACTTCACTGTCCTCAGAGCCATCATTGAAAATTTGAAACCATCAGATACATACGATTGCTGGTGGTCATCATACATTCGTACATTCTGCGGGCTTGACGAACTATTTATGTACTGTACACATGTATATGTGTATCATGTATACATTCTTTTCTTAAAATTTGTCTTTACATTTTTTATCATTATAGTTTAATAAATTCAATAAATATCCATAAATCATCATAATTGATTGGCATAATTCAATGCTTCCGCACGAACTTATGTCATTAAAAAATGATACGAGTATAAAAGTGTTGCTTGGTGTTGTATTTGCAATACAATTTCAAATTGGTCAGAAAGATTCTCTCTTCATCTTCATGTTGTGTTGTTTGTTGTTGAGTTATTTTGCTTATTCTCAAATGCAAGACTTTCAAGATCTGAAGCGAAGCACACATACATTTTTTTTCTTCCAACTTATTTTGGCAACAAACTCAGGAGCTGAAGATCCAAGGCAGTATAAGATCAAATGCAACAAAATCAAATGCAACATAGGTATATAACCAAACCACACACATAAATACACGCACACACACACACGCGCGCGCGCGCATACATATACACGTATACATACACACATATACTAGTGTGGACGAAATGGTATGCTTATATTGCGTAAACATGAACATTGAGCGAGCATACAACCAACTCTTACAATCGCGTGCATACAATGACGGCTACATATTATATTGTTAAAATTTTTGATATTTGTATTTATTAGGAGAAGAAAGAAAGGATAAAGAATGAGGTTATAAAATGAGAAAAGAAAAGAGAGAGAGAGAGAAAGCGAGAGAGAGGGAGAGAGAAAGCTAGTTGTATTTTCTTTACCAGTCCCGCATAAATCATTAATTTCATTAAATGCGTGGAGGAGAAAAATATTCAGCATGTTTGACAAGCAGGTAAAGAGAGAATGTTACTCACGTACGCGAGATTATTTCAAAACAAACAATAATTTTTTAAATGATCTAAAGTACTATTAATATTTCGACCCGGTCCATACCGTATAGGACTGTAAAATTTTCTTACCGATCGTTGTATGGCAAACTGTAGAATTTACGATCGAAAAATCTGCAAACCATGTTACGGTAATGACATTTCAGAAATTAAAGAATTTAAAATTTTTATAACCAGATGGCTCTTTGGACGTCGGCAAGGGAAACGTTGCGAGTAAATAAAAATTCGAATCAGCATTTGTTTTCTTTCCGACGTTTGTAGCGAACGGAGCAATCGGTGATTTGAAGTTTTCAGGAAAGTCAATATTTAATCGTGAAAGGAATAGAAATAAATTTAATTTTAAATAAATAGTAGATAATATTTCTTTTATTATTATTTAAATTATTTCTGGAATTTCCATTAAATGACTTTGAGCAAAAAAGAGAGAGAAGAGAAGGAAGCGAGAGAGAGGAGAGAGAGAGATGAAAGGATCGGCCAGATGAAGGCCAACCTGGCCAGGAAAAAACTGATGAAAGTTCGAAGGCTCATCAAAGTTCCGAAAGAAGTGACCAAGAAAAAACTATTAAAAATTAAAGGTAGCAAAGATTTTGCTCTGCGGACCACAAAAATAAAAGCCGACACTCTTAAAAAAATCCTGGCGAAAGAGAAGCAAAGATTTTCTGCAAAAGTCGTAAAAGTACAACACCCGGCCATGACTTTCAGTCGCCGTTGGAAGCTCCTGGAAAGCAACAATCAACTTTTCAATTACGCGCGTTGGCTAGCACTCATCATCGCTTACTGTTTTGTCAACCTGTCTACCTTGTTTTTAGCCGCATACTCTTACTTCATGACCATGTCCGAACCTTACATCTATATGGAAAATTTTGTCAGTTTTGGCAGGGAGCATGGTCAGAATTTGGTTTTTTTTTGCATCCAGTCGGCCATCGTTAGCTTCCACGGTTTCTGTTTGTCGTGCGCGGCTGTTGATGTCGTTCGAAGAAATAATTTGAGATTCTTCGCTATCATGTACCTCATACACTCGGCGATTCATCTGATCTTCCTCTTGATCGTCGCCATTTTCTACATTGTAGCCTGGCTCCACGTCAGACGTTTCATGCAGGTTAGCCGCGTTCAAGTGTTTCATTTTTATTAAATAGAATCCTTAAAGTTCATGTCATGATTAATATCTGCCGAAGCATTTCATCTTAAACATTCAACCAATGAAATTATGAAATTAAAATTGAAAATGATGACATCCTCCTAACTCTCCTTGTAATTTACATTATTGTACAAAGTGGTAAGTGAGAAATATCAAAAATAATATTTATATTCATCACTGTTTAAAAATATTTCAACGAATGGTCATCTTGACAGCTGTTAACTTTCCCAAACGTTAGAACGGCGATTATTTGTACGACCCGCTGAGGTTGTACACCGAGGAGCAAGATATCTTCATAAGCATCAACGAGTTTCAAATGAAGTACGGTTGCTGTGGGGTCAAAAGCTACCTGGATTGGGCCAGGGTCAGGTGGTGGACAGGTGGTGGTCTTTACTAATTATTATTTTTATTTAAATGCAAGTACTTTTGATTATTCACTAATCAAATAATTTTATATTTTATTCCATTTATAATCCAGGAGAGTACAGCCAAGTGAAAAAAATTAAATATATGTTCAAAGTGCCATTCAGCTGTTGCGATCAGGATCTGGTGCGAGCTGGCACGTGCATCTGGTTCGCTCAGGTCCGTTACAATTTGTTATTAGATCAATGTAATATGCATGGACAACAATACATTTCAAATAATTTAATTTAAAAATAATTCTCAATCGAACCTTATAAATAATATTATACAATACAAAAGTTTATCAGATTAATAATATCAACTGAAGTAAATAAAAATATTTTTAAGTCGACGATTGACCTGACGATAAATAGACACGGATGCAGAGGTCAAGTCAAAGAGTTTCTAAAGAGCGAGTTATTTGTGAAGATGGTGCTGCTCGTTGTGATGACAGTCTGCCACATCATATGTTTCGTCTTTCTCCTACCATCGGTTTTGAACCTACCCCACATGGAACTTCTGATTTTTAGACCACCCCCTCCGAAACCAAGAGACAAGGACAAAGAGAGACTTTGGATAACAAACACTTTGGCCCAGTTATTCTCAAAATCTCCAACTGCCGTCCGAACCACTGAAGCCCAAAAACTGGCGGCAGCCCAACAAACGCAGCAAACAAATGCAGTGGCTAATTTGACGGGTGCAAAGGCGTTGGTGATGAATTTGATCCAAGATAGAGAGAAGCTGGATGATTTGAGGCATGACTTCAAGGAACGCCAAAAAGCGAAAGAAAGAGATTTGTTTGTTAAAGATATGAGGGAGGCCAAGTTTGTTGACAATAAGAGCAACTCAGGCAACTACAACTTTCGTAACTTTACTTCCAATAATTTGGAAGTTAATACTAGCAAGCATAAGTACGATGTAAATAATGACGCTTGTTTGATACATTTTGATGATAGCACAATAAATTTCAACTTTGGCCCAATTACTTGCAAAAATAATCTTTCGCCACAGAACCGAAACGAAATGAACGAAAAATATGACTACAGACGACACTTTAAAACCACCAAGAGCAAACGAACGACATCGCAAATTCCAAATTCGAGCGAGTTAGTTGAAGTTTATAAGAACAACTTAAATACGAACATCTGCTGTAAATTTGCCAAGAATCAAAATGCCAGTTTCAATAGTGCACAAATTTACGTTAGCGGTGAAGCGGTTAACAGTCAAAAAGTAGAAAACTACGAGAAAACATTCGAAAATATTCTCAACTGTTATGAAACTACCAAACCAACTCTTTTGGAAACACCATCCCTAACAACAGCTGCATTAAAAACCCCACCAATATTAAAACATAAAAATTTTCGGATGTTTTAACTATGATCATGGTGTCTGAGACCGTTATTAAAAACTAATTAACTTCGAAAAACTTTCCAATCAAGAAGAAAAATATAACGGGAAAATGTCAAAGACAGCTCAACCTACCGGGGTCATATCAACCACACATTTTCATGGTCAACAACAATACATATTTTTCTTATTGAAATGATGATTCATTATTGATTATTACTATTCACTCTAATTAGTATTCTCTCCAGAAAATAATAAATAATGTGTAACGTAAAATATTTCATTTTAATGTAGTAAATTTATAAAATTTGTAAATTTTTACGAGTAAAAAACTTGTTATCAGGCACGTTGCAATCGCTTTAATATGTATAAAATAATTTTGTAAAATGAAATATGGCTGCTATTTAAACTTAAAGCAAATGAATAAATTAATATGCGAAAGTTTGAAGAATTATAAAAAGAGGTAATAAAAATCCAGACGTTTTTCATATATCGAAACTTGAATTGACCAAATAGTTATCGTTATGTTTTAGTGAGAAGACGCACAGGAGTTCAATTTACTTTAAGGGCAGAGTGCCAGATAAGGAAGACCATACATAGTAGAGCGAGTTACATGTTCCTAGATAAAACTTATCTAATAACAAGAAGGACATGGGTTAAGAAAAGATCTTCTTTATTCTACGCAAAGGTTAAAAGGTTGAAGGTCAATTACACTCTTCTAAAGTTCAGAGGATTCAACAGATCGCACAAACATCGTAAATGAATACGTGCTAAACGACGTATCGCACACGAAACGTGATAGGCGGGGATCTTTTTGTCCCATTCGAACCCGGTTTCTGCGAAACAGCAGCAGGCGACCTTAACCATTAGACCATCAAACCATCGCGTGGATGAAAGTAGGAACATAACGGTAATTCTCTTTAATCTGAGGGTTTGCAAGCGATGTTTTTATTGTAATAATTAACAATAAGTAAAATAAAAATATTTGCAGCAAACCGAACAATAGACGACCGATTTCAGCAATGATTCTAGCTAAACACTAATGATTACAAAAGCTTTCCATACGATATATAACAAAGATTGAATGCTCAACATCAATTTAAATACAAAAAAAACATTTGGGTGTTTAGGTTCTCTAAGTTTTACAATCTCCGGGATGATTTTAGCAAGTTAAATGGCGATTCAACCGGAGAAATATTCTCATTAAATATTTTGTTGCCGCGTTTACGATCTGCACTCATTAAATTTCGGTTGTTCATTCATTGATCATGTGCTGTTTCCATTTTTCATTTTATTGATTTATTTTATTTTTTCTCAATTATAATTTAATTGTTATAATTAATTATAATAATTATTAATTATTATTGTTTATTTAATTTTATTTAATTAATAAATAATATTTATTATTTATATTTAAATCTGTACAACTTTGTACTACTTGCCTACTTTACAAGTTATGAATAAATTTTAAATTATTTATACTTTTTTATTTAATTATATTATGTTGGTAAGCTAGGAAAAAACTGCTAAAATAAAAGGTAGTGGTGAGAACAACTAAAATAAAATAACAATCTTACTTAAGGCATTAATGATAAGGATAACCGATAACTCAACAACATAATCATAATTTAATAGACTACACTCTACTATAATAGTTTATTTTATTCAGTTAAATTTCTATGAGATGAAGTTAGTTTGTTAGAATTAGTAAGACTTTGGTATTTGAGGTTCTTGCAATAAATGCTGATTACGATGGGAAATATAAATAAATAAAATAGAGACATAACATATGATGGGCTTTTGGTTTAACTTTAGAGGCTCAATGATATGTATGTTGCATGTTATGTTAAGTTAAAAAATATAGATAAGATCAACTGCCTTAAGACTTCAGGGGGTAATTGTCCAGCTGAGAAGAGGATTAGCCATCTTTTTTAGAGCAGTTGTCCAACTAATTAAGGAATAACCATCTTTAAGGGCAATTATTAAAACAAATGGAGACTGAACATCTGTAGGCCCATAACATTTAATATAAATAATTATTATATAAAGTTAGTTGATAAATATTAAATTAATTGTTTATTAAATTATGTCTTCAGCACTCTACAAAGATATCAGCTGGTCGTCAACGAACACACGGTGTATGCAAATATTCAAAGTTCAAGTAGAGGCAGATAGTTAGAGTATGATCAATTGATTAGCCTGTAAATTTTTTTACTAATAGTTTATAGTTTATTGTAAATTGTTTATTCTCTCTTATTTTGATTTTTCAATAAATTTGTTTCAATAATCAAAATAGGGATTTTCGAGAAATAAAATATAAATAAATAAATAAGTTAGTAAATAAATTGATGAAATTTTAAATAAAATGGCTGTCATTGTGAGTATCAGAAATACTTTTCCAAATATTCTTGATTTGACAAGACCAGGTTTAATTAGGAGAGAGATAGAAAGAAAGGGAGAGAGAGAGAGAGAGAGAGAGAGAGAAAGCACATTAGTGACTAATATGAAATAAAAGATGATCTTATCAAATGCAATTTATATATTTTTTAATAATTAAATATTTAACTTGTTGGCTCTAAATTTGAAGATGTATAATAATTTTGTTGAAGTTTTTAACATCAAACACTTATATTGAATAGTAATAAATACATTTATTTTCAAATTTATAAAAATACTTGAATACATTTCTAATTATTTCCGACTAATAATAATTTCATCTAACCATTTTATTCTCTTTCCAGGAAATGAGGCAGAAACACTGTGCTGCAATGCCTGCCAATCCAAATTGTTATGGAAGTTTTGGCCAACCGAGTGTCAATCAAAATTTTGTTTATGTTGGGAATGTTGAAAAAGATGAAGATGGCAGCGTGGAGTTATCGACCATCTACGGGCCGTGGACGCTGGAAGAGGACATCTTTCGGAGGCGTTTGAAATATTTCTTCATGAATCCCTATGAAAAGTTCCAGGCGAGATCTCGAATTCCCTGGAAGATGTTCATCCAGATCCTCAAAATTGTTATCTTCACCTACCAAGTTGGAACATCTTTCTATTGCTATTGTTGTTATTATTATTATTGTTACTTATTTTTTTATTCTGGTTCATAAATTTTCAAAAAGCCTGTTATAATTGAAATTTAAAACTGGTTGATCGCTTAATGAATGTTCGGAATGAGGACTCTTGCATATGAACGTAGTAAGGGGTGTGGAATGAAATTGTACAGTGAAAACAGTTAATAGATTTTGGGTCGTTACGTTCCTTGCACATTGAATTCATGGAGACGACCAACCTGGCCCTGAAGCACCTCTATCTGAAAGATTGGACGACCTCTTACGAGACCATGCCCTACCCCCCGTCCATGGGCAAGATGGCTTGCTACACCGACCAGGAGTTCTTCCAATCCGTTGATTTCATTCTCAACAGGGTCTCTATAACTTTTCCTTCCTTTTACTTGTTTCACTCTCTTGTTTGTTCAACATTTTGGATGTTTAAAATTTGTTGGAACTTTTTTTGTAACGAGCTCGGTATTAAAATTGATTTCAAGTTGGTTTCAACTCACTAGTTTCACATCCCATCCACCTGACAGTACAATGAAACAGAGTCGATTGCGATCGGAAACTTCAGTCCAGCACAAGAAAATGGCACGACGCCCCCCGTGGAGATGTGCGTCCACAAGTACAAGGAGGGTGTCATCTGGGCCTTCAATCAGACCTTCATCTTCGACTCGAGGGTCATCAAAGGTTCATCTCATTTGCTCACAAATTTATTCAGCCAATGAGATATCTATGAATCAGATATTTGCCTGTTTTTAAGCTTCAGTTCACTTTTCATTCATCTATGCCAAATCGTTTGTCATTTTGTAATTCATTCGTTACGTGCGAATCATTAAACGTAGAAATTGATAGAGTAAATAAATAGATGATTATTGTGAATGAATGAATGAATAAATGAATGAATGATATGTGCTCAGATTGCTTCAAAGTGATGCCCGTGTTTGATCCGCCGAGCAATCTTTCAGTTTACAACATTGAGAAGTTCCTTGAGTCAGTCAATAGGACCATTAATTTTGACAGGTTGGTTGATGGGCCAGTTGGTCGGTATACTCGTTGGTTGTGGGACTATTAAGATTAATTTTATCAAGAAGTTATACATCTTTATGTAAATCGTTGATGTGAATATATGAAAAAATATTGTTTGGTTGTTTTAATCATTTGATCAATTTATCAACCAATCAGTCAGTCAATCGACCAGCCAATTAATCATTGAATCATCCAACCAACCGCAGCTTGATCCGCATTACCTTACATTTCAACTTGAACACAGTTCATTTGAAATCGTTACATCGCTCGTCAGACCCTGACTGCTTCCTGTTGAATGTTCGAGTTAGTTAGTTAGCCAGGTGTCGTTTCGTTTGTGCTGGTGTGTGCGTGTGTGTTCTCTCATATGTTTTGTAGCGTGTCTGTCAGCTGCATATGCTTCTGCTGTTAAAATTTTCATCTCCTCTCATTTATTAGGTTAGTGCGAAAACAACGTCAGCTTTGCGATATTTATTTTTTCGACACAAAATTTTTAAATTGATTTTATTCGATATAATAATTTTTTTATTTATTTCTCTATCCAGTTTATATTAAATGTTTGTTGAACATTCCACTGTGTTTGTTTCTGAGCGTAGTTTAAAATGAAGTCACAGTGCGATTGTTGTTTCGTGAGTTGTTTCAAGGCATAATACGGGCATAATGCATCAGCCACAACTCGTCATATTGTTGAAGCACAACGAGATGTGAGTGTTTTTGGGCGTATCACGTAAAGTTGGTTTGAAAATTTCGCACTTGTAAGGATGCGGTACTTCTCGTACTCGCAGCGTGGAAGATGCAGACTGCTCTGTGAGGTTGGCGGCGGGAACTGAAGGCAACTATTGAAGCAAACCCAGCCCAAATTACTCGAAGTTGCAGAAGAACTCAAGTCACCCACACAGCAGGAGTTCGTCTTTTAAAGCCACTTGTCCAAGTCAACTAACTTGATGAGCAGATGGCGCACATAGATGTTGAACGAAAGTCAGAAAAACTTGGTCAAACCTCTCACGAACATTACTCCAAAACTGAAGACGCCACAAAAAGCTTTCTTACGGCATCTCGCCTCCAGAACCACTAATTGTCGTATTGTCGCTGACATCAACGAACTTGTTGCTTGTTGGCAGATGAGCGTAGGTTGCAATGGTTTTTATTTTGATTGAACGCCTATTGTAGAAGTTATCCTATTTCGGAGGGGGCGGTATGAAACGGGCCTTATTCTTGCACTGACCTACGTAATGTATCTATAGTTCATTTTCAGCCAACATTATTGAATCATAGCATTCACCACTACCATCATCATCATCTTCACACAGATCCTCTTTGATAATTCGGAGCACAGCGGTCAGATGCTATTGTTGCTTGAAACTTATGTGAATGATGTTACCTGCAAGGGGGATGTTCTCTTTGATCAAGGTGATCTTTCTTTTTTGTTTGTTGGTTCATAAGTTTGTCCATATATTTGTTCATATTTTAGTTAAGTTTTTTTCGTTTAATTTCGTTTGTTCATTTGTCTTTGTTGCTAAAACGTTTTGTGTGTCTTGTTTTCAGCATAGCTAAATTTCGTGATTCAAGTTATTTATTAACGGATGGAACATCACTGTTAACCATGAAAATTCAATTCAAGATCATCACCATCACCGCCCTCTTCATCATCATCATCATCACCACCACCGTCCAGGAGTCGACATCTCGGAGGTCTTCTCATGGATCTTCAACGGCATCGTCCTCATCATCTGCTTCGTCAGCTCCATCCTTTGCCTCAGGTCTTTCCATAGAGCTATTGTCCTTAAGAAGGTCTTTCCATTCATTCACTTCATTCATTCTTTCTTCCTACATTCGTTCGTTCATTCATTCATTTGATTGAAGTATCTTAATCAGTTATTATGTTAAAACATCCAATCCAATTATGTATTTATCGTTACTCGCGTTCACTTGATTGCACTTACTCACCCCTGTAAGCATAAACATACGCACGCATTCATGTACGCACGCACACGCATTCACACACACATACACGCATACTTACACGTAGAGCCCAACATCTCGCACACGCAGGACACAGTTAAATTTTTTGAGACGAACTACCCCTCAGTCATTGAGGTAACGTGGTCGGACAAGATGGACTTCGTGGACATGTGGTACATCCTCATCATCATCAATGATCTTCTGACTGGAGCTGGATGCATCTGTAAAATTTTCATACAGATGAAGGTCTTCTCCTCTGCAATTTTTCTTTTCTCTTTTTTTTATCTCCCTCTCTTTCTCTTCTTTTCTTCGACGAAGCTTTGACAGTTATGAAAGTGGTTTTAATAATAATAATGATAATCTGAACACACGCACACGCACGCACACTTGAAAACATTGGCAGATGAACACGAACTACGAGATATGTGGCATCCTGCTGGGCACTGGCAGTTTGTTCGCCTGGTTCGGCGTCCTAAGATACCTGGCCATGTTCAAATCATTCAATGTTGGAGTTTTCATTCATCTGTTGCTTGCTTCTCTCAAATATTCACTATTTATATTTATTAATGTTTGTTAATATAACAATTTATTTTATTTAATAATATTTGTTAAAATAGATATTCATTTTGTTAAAATAAATATTTATTTTGTTAAAATAAATATTTATTTATTGTTGAGCATTTGTTTGATTCATGGCGTCAACTTTAAAATGTTATTCACCACCAAGGTATTGATAGTTACATTGAAGCGAGCAGCTCTAAGTGTCTTCCAGTTCTTCATCTGTGCCTTCTTCATCTTCATCGCATTCTCAATATGTGGCTGGATTGTACTCGGTCCCTACCACATCAAGGTTCGCTTCTTCTCCAACCACTATCACCCATCAACCTTCTCTCTCTCTCTCTCTCTCTCTCTCTCTCTCTCTCTCTCTCTCTCTCCTTCTTTCGTTTTCTTTCTATCCCTTTCTTTAAGTTACAAAAAACTGTTTCTGCAAGTTATTCTTATTAAATAAAATTTGTTTCCTTCTCCGTTTAAATTAATTTATTAATGATTTGAAATAATTAGACAACAATTATTATCGCGCTAACCCAAAATAACCACACACACATGTGATGATGCAAGATGCATGATACTTTGTATGCAATACATACATACATACATACATACATACATACATACATACATACATACATACATACATACATACATACATACGTACATACATACACACACATACATACAAATAAACAAACAAACATACACTCACATACATACAAATAAACAAACATACATACACACACACACACACACACATACATACACACACACACACAGTTCCGAGAACTGACGACCTCTTTGGAGTGTCTGTACAGTTTGATCAACGGAGACGACATCTACACCACATTCGCCACCATGAACCAGGTTCATTCCCTCTCTACGTAACTTTCTACGCAAATCTCTTATGGCAGATATTAAATTACAAAATACTTCATTGATATTTCGATTATTTGAATCATGAATAGTAATGAGCACGAATGAATATGTATCTAGGTTGTGTTATTTAAATAAGTGAATGACATGATGAATAAATAATAATGAGCAGGTGAGCACCGGAGTCTGGTTATTCAGCAGGTTGTACCTCTACATGTTCATCTCCCTCTTCATCTACGTCGTTCTCAGCATGTTCATCACCATCATCGCTGACACCTACGATTCAATCAAAGTATATTCTTATAGCGAATCATTTCATTTCTAATTATCATAGTGGTGGCATTCCGTTTTCATAATGTTATTCTCATTCGCAGTTCATTCGGCACTGTTTGGCGAGTTCATATTTAGATATTGCATCGGCCACACTTTTCATTATTCGTTTTGACACCGGCGATACTTTTAATCAAACTTGAAGTCGCCGATACATTCTAGGCTGAAAAAATCGATACCACTCAATACCGATACTCTTGAACGACAAATAAGTGGAAATTTTTTTAAACGAGTTGGCAACATTCATATTTACCCCAAACATTTTCTGTCGTAATTTTACCTACAATGAATATATGTACGATCATTTTCTGCTGAAATAATTTCGTTTGTTGCAATGAATTTTTAAAAGACTGGACAAAAAAACTGTCCTTTTTATTTTGAACAAATCTGGACTCTGCTTTTTTTTGGACTCCAAAATCCGGTTCAGAACAGATACATTCATTTTAACTTCAAATTAAATGGTTCAGATAATTTATCGCTATGCACTCATTTCATCCTATACCTATATTAACTACCGAATTAAAATAATGATGATGAAACAACAGCTGCGTATCTCGTGGCAGCGTTTGAGAAATACAAAAGTATTGCTGTTACAATATAATAGCGCTGTCGCAATCCTGCCAGTTGAACGAATAATTTGTGCATCAGTTAAAAAGAAGCGAGTGAACGATGTGTATGACGTTCATTGACGAATGTTCCTAAATGAACTTAAGCATTTGGTTGTTGATGCTGATGGTTATGTATTTAATTAAATGGCGATTGACAACCCGGTAGCACCCAGACAGCCACGAATATTTAAAGAGTCGACTGCAGAGGTTCGCAGACGAATGTTGCACGAGAGCGTCTCAGCTGTACAGCAGGCCAGAATTTCAACATCTGCACAGCAGAAGGAACTTCATCTTCGCCAAATTATTGAAATTGTTCGGTCATAAGGGAAGGAGCGCGAGGTAGGTTGATTATTTCTTTCTATGAACTATTTCCATGACTTCAATACAATCATTCAACTCTTTTATTTAATGAGCTTATAAGTAATAAATTAAATAAATAAAAATAATTTGAACCTTGCTGGCAGGAGCAGTCTAGTGGTAAATGAATCTCGAGATGAAGAGCAGTCCCTCCTCACCAGTTCTTGAAAGCTGACATCATCTTGTTTCTTCGTGCCGATAACTAGGACGTTAATTTTTATTTTTTCGATTTTGTATTTATGTTATTTAATGTCGGGTTTTATCAAAAATTACGATTTTAAATTCCGAAGAGTAAATGTGATGAGCCGTTCATTTTATCTTCTACTGGTCTGTTAAAGATTGAATTATTTTTTAATTTTATAAATTTTTTATATTCTTATTTATATGCACAACAAACAACTTCTATGAACATAATCTAATTACTTTGAAATGTTGAACACTAGACGAATTTAATTTAACGCAATTGTTAAAATCACACAAGATCACCGTTTCATAATTTAATTTTCTGGATTTGCTTTAGTAAACAGAATAGCCAGCATTCATCACCCCTCTCCTATCGCATTTTTTTCATTGTCCAAGTGACTAGTGGCAAGCCAAGACAGGCTCATCCATTTTATTTTATTCTAAGTGACCATTTGACGACACAAACAGGTTCAAGTGTTATAGTTCAATTCCTTCGTAATTTAAATCAGTAGCACAGGTGTCATCTGGTAAACTCTCCTAACAACCGTATATAACACTATATACAATCAATAACTTTACATAACTATATATAAATCTATATAACCGTATATAACACTATATTATAATAATATATAATCCTATATAACTCTATATAACTAATAATAAAACAAACGAATTCGAATGGTAAAAGTGATGACAGCTGAAGGATAGAAAACATGGATTGCCGCATTCAATGATGACTCTTCTATTTGTTTCACTCCGTCGTTCACTCTGGCAAATAAAAAAATATTCTTTTAATTATAAATTAATAATAAAAAAAAGAATATCAATCTTCTTTTAAACTGAGCTAAACTTCACCACAATTAACTTGCAATCATCATTCCAATTGTTTTCAGGATAAAATTTATCTAAATATAATACAGACATGCAATTTATGATACATGAAATGAGTAAACCATAATTTAAAAATTAAGTAATAAGCTATTTGGAGGTACCTTATTATCAAATTAGTCAATTGATGTGCAAGTTCAATTTTGCAAGAATAAGATGGAGTGATGAAGAGGAGGATGAAGGAAGAGATCAAATAAAATTTAATAAATAGGATGGGTAATTCGTTGCAAATGCTAACGTAACCCATGTTTTAGAGTATTTGCGCTAAAAAATGCAACCAAGAAAGACAGAATCGCATTTTTAAGAAAACAAGTAAAGAAGAAGCACAAACTTGAACGGCACTTAGTAAGAAGCCCCCTCGCCACGTCAAGGCAACCGTTCATGAGGGGGTTAATAATAAAACGACAGTCTAGAAATAATAAGTAACGAAGGTCTAGAAATAATATACAACTTAACTAAAATATAACGAAAATAATATTGTGTTGATTGTTGTGTTTGATTGCTGTTGTTGATTGCTGTTGTTGATGTTGTGTTGAACAAAATACAATACAAATAAACTAGAACGTAAGAAAGAAAGAAGGAATAGAGTCCCTAACTTACCTATGTTTACTAAATTAACTCACCTACCTATGTTCAATTAGCTCAACTTACGAATTAATCCTACCTATTTGTACAATTACGAAGAAAAAAGTAAGGAAAAGAGAAAACATCAAGCAAACAAATAACGAATATATGTATGTATGTGTGTGTGTGTGTGTGTGTGTGTGTTTGTGTGTGTGTATGACCGCGCAATAATAATAATAAAATAAACGAACAAATCTAGAAATAATAAGTAACGAATAAAATAAACGAATAAATCTAGAAATAATAAGTAACGAATAAAATAAACGAACAAATCTAGTAATAATAAGTAACGAATGGCCTAGAAATAATAAACAACTTAACTAAACTTAACTAAAATATAACGAAAATAATATTGTGTTGATTGTTGTGTTTGATTGCTGTTGTTGGTGTTGTGTTGAACAAAAAACAATACAAAACAATACAATACAAATAAACTAGAACGTAAGAAAGAAAGAATAGTCCCTAACTTACCTAAATTCACTAAATTAACCCACCTACCTACGTTCAATTAGCTCAACTTACGAATTAATCCTACCTATTTGTACAATTACGAAGAAAAAAATAAAGAAAAGAGAATAAAACATCAAGCAAACAAAACAACGAATATATATATGTATGTATGTCTATGTGTTTGTGTGTGTGTGTATGACCGCGCAATAATAATAAAATAAACGAACAAATCTAGAAATAATAAGTAACGAATAAAATAAACGAACAAATCTAGTAATAATAAGTAACGAATGGTCTAGAAATAATAAACATCTTATCTAAAATATAACGAAAATAATATTGTGTTGATTGTTGTGTTTGATTGCTGCTGTTGGTGTTGTGTTGAACAAAACAATACAATACAATACAAATAAACTAGAACGTAAGAAAGAAAGAATAGAGTCCCTAACTTACCTATGTTCACTAAATTAACTCACCTACCTATGTTCAATTAGCTCAACTTACGAATTAATCTTACCTATTTGTACAATTACGAAGATAAAAGTAAAGAAAAGAGGATAAAACATCAAGCAAACAAACAACGAATATATGTATGTATGTGTGTGTGTGTGTGTGTGTTTGTGTTTGTGTGTGTGTGTGTATGACCGCGCAATAATAATAATAAAATAAACGAACAAATCTAGAAATAATAAGTAACGAATAAAATAAACGAATAAATCTAGAAATAATATGTAACGAATAAAACATACGAATAAATCTAGAAATAATATGTAACGAATAAAATAAACGAATAAATCTAGTAATAATAAGTAACGAACACGTCTAGAAATAATAAATAACTTAACTAAAAAATAAAATAAAGAAATAAAAAAATGGACCAGGCGCTAAGGGAATGCCCTAAAGCGCCCGGTCGGATTTCAACGCATTTTCGGCTCCTTATTATACCAGTTCCATTCATATATTCTTATCATTTCAATCATTGACATCATTAAAAAACTTTATTTAATGTATATGAAACATTATTATAGGTGCTTAACAACAATATGTTAACTATACTAGAATGAATTCAACGACCGCCTACGGACTTCCTGATGGGAAGTTTCGAGTATGTGTATACGTTTAGCTAGTTGAATTCAAATTTAATCGAGATCACTCCTTTTTCACATAACTATGGAAAAATAAAAAAATGTATTTCTTTTGGTTCATTTCTTTTATATATTATACTTACAATCAATTCAATCATTAACATTTGTAAAAATTTTATTGTTTGAATGTCATTGGTTTTTGATTTTATATAATTCACTAATATACATTCTTGACAACAGAGCTACTCAAACTTCGAAACATTCTGATTGATTGACTGGTTGGAACTGCTGTATTTCTTTTTATGCAGACATATAATCTTAGTAATTATTTGTATACGTGAATTCTAAATTCTTTATATATATTTATTACATAACTTCTTTATAAAACCAACAGAAATCAATGTTACATGTGTATGTACGCGCGCGGTTCAAATCAAATTATTCCGAGAGAATTCAAAATAATTTTACTCCACACACCTTACTTCACTTTAATTGTAAAATTTAAATGTATAAATATATATATATATATATTTAGCTAGTATATATATATATATATATATATATATATATATATATATTTAATAACTACACATATCTATCTATTTATAGGAATCGAATACAATGTTTATTCTGGCTAATTCACTAACGTACTGTGAAACTACTTTTAAAATGACGTCATTTCCCCAAACGGTTTCGTTCCGAATTACCAATCCCGTTTCAATGATACTTATCTTTCAATAAATCTTAAAAACAAAGTGATTTAATAAAATTAAAAAAACTTCCTTCCATATGTTGGT